TGAATCTGCCTAAATGACGAGGCCTCTTGTCAGACCCCTGACCACCCCCGTGTGATACAACCATCTCAACTCTCCTGGCCACATTGGCTACATCCTGAAAAAAAATCTCGCTCCCCGTCTCCTTAGCCATTTACAATCTAATAGGTTGAACGAGTCCCTCAATGAACCTCCCCACTCTCTCTCTCTCTCTCTCTCTCTCTCTCTCTCTCTCTCTCTCTCAGTGGGAAGTATAAGAAGAGCATGATGGCCCAAGTTAATAAATCTGGTCTCATACTAAGTAACAGTCATAGAACCCTACTGGAGATGCTCAAACTGCCTCTGATAGTTCTCCCTCTGAGTGATAGGAAGAAACTTCTCCAGAAATAGCTGAGAGAACTGATCCCAAGTCAAAGCCGGTGACCAAGTTGGTCTAGCCAAACAATAATCTCTCCAATAAGTCTTGGCGGATCCAGATAAACGAAAAGCAGCAAAGTCGACCCCATTGGTCTCCACTATCCCCATGTTCCGTAAAACCTCATGACATCTGTCTAAATAATCCTGGGGATCCTCAGAAAATGTACCACCAAAAGTAGTAGTGAAGAGCTTGGTGAACATGTCCAATCTCTACAAGGCATCAGCAGACATAGTTGTCTCCTCACCGGTCTGTGCCACAATACCAGGCTGATCTACCCCAACTATTTGAGCTGCTGGATTTTGAAACTAGGGAGCCATCTGCTTCGGAGTGCGAGCAGCAGTAGTCTGGGCTCCTCCTCCAGCCGAAGAGATGGCTGGTGCTACAGGAAGCAAGCCTACCTGGGTAATACTCTCCATAAGGCCCACTAGACGGACCAGAGTATCCTGAAGTACCAGGGTGGCGATGAACCCCTCTAGGACCTGAGCGGGTCCTGATGGAACTGTCTAGGCTGGAACCTCATCGATAAACTCAACCTGAGGCTCCGTCGTTGGTGTTGTTGCTCGAGCTCTAGGCTGAGCCGTTCCTCTGCCTCGGGCCCTAGCACGGCCTCGACCTCTGCCCCTCGCAAGAGCTGCTACTGGGGCCTCGGGCTGTTGGTCAGCTGATGAAGAGGTATGTATTCTCACCATCTCAAAAGAACAGAGTGAAAGTTCAATTAGCATTGAGAAATCAAGTCGCACGACAGGAAAGAATAGATGTGAAGTTTTTCCTAACTCTATAGCCTCTGGGGGATAAATACAGACGTCTTTGTACCGATCCCTCAGACTCTACTAAGCTTGTCCGTGAATTGTGAGACCTAAGCAACCTAGGGCTCTGATACCAACTTGTCACGATCCGAATTTTCCACCCTCGGGAGTCGTGATGGTGCCTACTCATGAAATCTAGGCAAGCCGAGTGTTATAGATTCATTAACCTTTTTACTTAGCCTTTTTAACAGTTCAATATAATAGTGATCAACAGCGGAATAATTATAATAGACAGAAATGTGGAAGACAAAAATAATAGTTTATCCATATACTAGTGTAGAATCCAACATACAACTCTACCCAAAATTTGGTATCACAATGTCACGGACTATCTACGAATACTATAAATAGTGGTTTGAAAGATAAATACAAAGTTGTCTCTGAAATACATAAAATAACATAATGGAAAGATAGAAGGAGACACCAAGGCCTGTGGACGTCTGCAGGACTACCTCGGCCCTCGGGTCTCCACCACTGGACTGAAGGGAGCAACCTCACTGTGGTCCAAAACCTGCAGCACTGGGATCTACACACAGTGCAGATTGTAGTATCAGCACAACCGACCCCATGTGTTGGTAAGTACCTAGCCTAACCTCGACGAAGTAGTGACGAGGCTAGGACAAGACTACCAAATAAACTTGTGTAGTTATATCATATACAACAAGTAATACTGACAGAACTAGCAGTTAAAGACGGGGAGGGGAAACATGCTCGGGGAATATCATGTACCAACAGGAGTTCAGTAAAGAAGCATACGGAACACAAATTCAACTTTAAGCAAGAATAAGGAAATCAATCATAAGTGCACGGCATCACCCTTCGTGCTTTTACTCTCGTCCTCACCATAAGAATCAATATAATCGGCACGGCATCACTCTTCGTGCTTTTACTCTCACATAATCATGGCACGGAATTATCCTTCGTGCATTATCACTCATATCATGGCATGGCATTGTACATCGTGTGGCTCGACATCACCCTTCGTGCTTTACACTCTTCCTCACCCAAGCAACAATCACAAAGCAATTTGGGCAAGGGAATCAATAATATCATAATAGAATCCCGGCAAGGGAACAATACCATATCAATAATATCCCGGCAAGGGAACAATATCATGAGCAATAATATCCCGGTAAGGGAGATAATATCATAAACCTCTTCTCTTTTCCACAATTACTTCACAACTTAATTCTCAACTTGAGCCAACGCTCTACAATGTTTAATTACCAATAATACTTTCACAAGCCTTGTTCAACAATAGAAATCATCATATAAAGCATGAACAATACGAAACGGAGTCACATCAATCATAGTATAAGACTCACGGGCATGCTTGACACTGACGTATAGATACTCGTCATCACACCTATACGTCGTACTCAACAATTAACACATAGAAAATAAGATACAACTCCTAATCCCTCAAGCTAAGGTTAGACCAAACACTTACCTCAATGCCACGAATACAATTCTAGCCTCAACTAGCGCTTTACCTCTTGTTTCCACCACCAAATTGCTTGGATCTAGCCACAATTTACTTAAAGACATCAATAAATGCTAAATGAATCAATTCTAATGCATGAAAAATAGGTTTTCTAAAGATTTCCACAAAAAGTCAAAAATCGACCCCAGGCCCACATAGTCAAAACCCGAGGTTCGAACCAAAACCCGATTACCCATTCACCTACGAACTCTAATATATAATTTGTTTTGAAATCAGACCTCAAATCGAGATCCAAATCCCCAAAATTTGAAAATCCTAAGTTCTACCCAAAATCACCCAATTTCCCATGAAAAACCCTTGATTTTGAATTGAAATCATGTAAAAAGATGTTATAGATTGAAGAAAGTGAGTTAGAAATATCTTACAATTGATTTGGAGAAAAGCTTTTCTTTGGAAATCACCCAAGAGAGCTTAGGGTTTGAGAGAGTTTGAAAAATGAAGAAATTTCAGCTAAGTTATGATTTTACACAAGTGCAGCTATCGCATTTGCGATGTCATGTTCGCAAATGCGAACTCGCAATTGCAGCCAAGGCTTCGCAATTGTGAATGAAGGCCTGCCATATTAACTTCGCAAATGCGAACGACTGTTCGCAATTCCGAACACTGATGGAGTCGCTTTTGCGACTGGAGCTTCGCAAATGCGAAGGTCGCCCCGCCCCCTGCCCAGTCATCGCAAATGCGATGGTTAGTCGCAAATGCGAGCCAGGCTTCGCAATTGCGAAGCCTGCAGACCTGCAATACACCAGCAGTTTTTCTAAGTCCAATTTCACTCCACGGCCTATCCAAAACTCACCCGAGCCCTGCTCCAAATCAAACATGCACACAAGTCCAAAAATATCATACGGACTTGCTCGTGTGATCAAATCGTCAAAATAACATCAACAACTATGAATTAAGCCTCAAATTCATGAAATCACTCAAAAACATCAAAATTTTCAATTTCTCAAATAAAGGTTTGATTTATACTAAACGAACTCCGATTCTTACCAAACTTCACAAATTCAAGTTAGTTATTATATAAAACATGTACCTGGCTCCGGAACCAAAATACGGGTCTGATACCATCAATTTCAAACGGCTTTTCATTTCCAAAAACTCTTGTAATTTTAGTTCAACAATTTCTTTATAAAAATCATTTCTTGGGCTTAGGACCTCGGAATTCGATTCCAGGCGTACGCCCAAGTCCCATATTCTACTACGGACCCTACGAAACCGTCGGATCGCGGGTCCGGGTCCGTTTACCAAGAATATTGACCAAAGTTAACTTTAATTAATTTAAAAGCCAATTGCCATATTTTACTTAGTTCTCACATAAAAGCTTTCCAGAAACGCGCCCGGACTGTGCACACAAATCGAGGTGAGACAAAATAAGGTTTTAAAGGCCTCGAAACACATAATTTACTTTCCTAAATATGGTACACTTCTAATTATAGTAGGGAATCTTATTGGAAAGCTGTCTAACCGCCAAGGACAAATCTGCTCTAGAATTTACGCCGTGATCTTATGGTCGTTGCGGGAATCTTGCTCTTTCTGTTATCAAACCATAACGGTATTATCTCAAGGTTGGTCGTACTCGGCCTCGGTGTTCATCGTGCACTTCGATCTTCAAGTTTTGTACTCCGCCATCGGGCTCCAAATCTGTTTTGAACCTATTCTCGAAGCGACTCCTCGAGCCTACGAAATCGGGCATACACGATTTCGACCGTATACATCATTAATTACAGTTCTTAGTTTATGAATTTTCAATTTATATATAATCAATTGATATTGTTACATAATGTCCTAGTCAATTTATACGCCCTTTGATAAAGCAAATTTTTAATCCCTTTATCCTTTGTATGTTAGGATCCCTATAAATGTATATCACAATAATAATATGTATATCACAATTTTTTTCCTTCTTTGTGTATATTAAAATTTTATTTTCTTTCTTTATATGTCTAAATATGGAGCCGAGGGTCTTTCGAAAATAACTTCTTTATTACCGTCATAAGGTAGGGGTAAGGTTTGCATATATTTTACCTTCCTAGACCTCACTTGTGGGATTTTACTGAATTTGTTGTTGTTGTTTGTTGTTGTAATTGTTGTTGTTTGCATATCTAAACTTGTGATAGTATTTTGGGATACATATTATTGATGTGTTATACATTGCAATATGCAAACAATATATTTTTTATTGTGATATACATTGATATAGAGACAACAATAAATTTTAAATAATTATTTATGTAATGGCATAGTTTAGACATACAAAGAAGGAAAATAAAATTTTAAAAACTTGGTCAACTACTAATTATTGTTCAAAAATATTTTGTAAATTAATTAGTCAAACACAAATTATTTTTCACCAAAATAATTTTAAAAATTTTGCCAAAGAGGCGAGATAAAAATGAAGGGAACACCACGTGCCGTTGATATGATTCGTCCAAAACGAAGAACACCAATAAGGGAACAATACTTTCTCCAAATCGATCACCAGCCCTAATAGTTGGCAAATCAGTGAACAACGCATTTCGGAAAAGAATTGGGAGCTTCTTGCATTGGGTTCGTCGGACCTAAGTGAACGTTGCATTTAGGAATCGCTATACCCAGGTGTGAAGTTTCACTTACTTTCCATCTACTTACCAGAGAGAATTATGAGTGTATATACCTGCATGTGTTTATACAGAAACTCAAGTTGAACTTTAATCAAGCTATTCACCCCCTTTAATCAATTCAGAATTTTGTTTGTGCCTAAACTGGGTTCTGGGGTTTTTTGCTATAGATCCAAATCAAGCTTTCATTTTTATTTTTTTGGAATGAGGGGTTTCTGCTGATTGTTATGGTTTGTGTTTACTCCGAAATTACGAGTAACAATTAAATTTGATTTGTGGTTTTAAAGATATGTGATCTAGTTCAATACCAATTAATAATCAAGCAATATGAAGTATAGAGGAAGAAAATAAGTAAGATCAAACCAGTAGATAGGTCAGTCTCGACCTCGAGCCTAGTGACCTCGAGATGGTCTAGAACAAGAAAGCAAGAATGATACAGTTAAAGTACAACTCTGATGAACAATGAGCGAGAAAGTAAGATAATATATTATTTGCCGATGATTAGATTATTCTTACAAATGATTGGGGTCCCTTTTATATAGGAGGGGAGCCCTAAATAAGGTACATTTCCATTTACAGTAAAAAAATCTTATTGGGACAGCTGTATAACCGCCTAATACGGATTTGTACTAATTCGTACAAATTAATTCCGAAATTTACGCCATGATCTTGGGGACGTGGCGAGAATCTTGTCCTTATGTAACAAACTCATAACGGCACTATTTCAGAGTTGGTTATACTTGGCTCCGATATTTCTCGAACACTTCGATCCTCTGGCACAGCATTCTGTCTTCGAGTTCGAGTTTGGTCCATCGAGCTCGAACTCGATCTTACCTGAACTTGGGCTTGAAGCGACTTCTCGAGCCCGGAAAATCAGGCATACCTGATTTTGACCGTATACAGTTTGCTTTTGGAAAAAGTCGATCTGGGTTTTTTTCATAAATTTACTATAGGTGATGGATTGGTAAGTGGCTTTTCTTTGTTTATTTTGAAATCGTTAGTACTTTTCTGGATCAAATTATTGGACATCGACCTTTGAATTTTTCACTCGTTTATTGCCCTAGTGATGATTCTGCTTTTCAAGATTGGTACTAAACAAGTTCATGTAAGATACGTATTAAACGCGTGAACCTGGTTGATTATGTAGTTAGCTAACTTGTTAGAAAGTATAATAATCTATGCTATAATATTAATAGCTTCCAGAAGGTGGAGAATACATGGGGCAAAATACATTGTAACACAACACAGTTGTGAACACAAAAAGTCCATTTCTGAGTGCTTAAATACCAACAATCTTTCCTAAACAATAAAGTTACCAGCAACAACCATATTGGAACAGATAGCAGCTATATCATATTACCAATTACACTATATGTCACTACCTTTTAGTACCATTAACAACTACTAAACCATGAGACATTAAAATAATGAAAACGGACAATTAGTGGAACATTAAAATAAGGGCATGGTGTTACACTTTGAGGCAATACACTGTTCTACTTTCTTAATAATATATCAGAAGTGGCTTAAAGCAGGCATCTCTTGGTTGACATCTCTGCTATTGGATCCGTTTTAGATGTTTTGGTTGATGTTTTCGTTTGCCTTTGTTTAGTTCATTATTTTCTTACTAGCCATCGTACATTTTGGAAAATTAAGGAAAAAATTTAGGCGCTTTTAAATAACTGTCGAACTCCTTTTCGAAAGTCATGGTGATTGATGGTGGTTTCTGTGCTTGAATGGCTAGTCCATAGGCATTTCAAGAGTTACAATACATTGTTTAGACAGAAAATTTGCCTAAATTGGACAGTTTTGAAGATATTTTTCATGTAAAAATCTTGATATGTTGTTTCTTCCACTGTTTGTCTTTGCCATCTTAATTTTTCTTTATATATAGTTATATACTTGTTGTCCACATAAGTTATAATATAACTGTTTTATGTTTTAGTTTGCTTTGCTCTATTGATTCCAGTAGATCAAAAGAAATTCTGACTGGATACTCCACAGCAACAATTTCTACAAATATACTTGCACTATATCAATATTAAATATCTAGTTTCTTTTTCACTCTTAATCAATACTTTAGTACTTTTTATCAAAAAAGATGTTTGTTTTGGGAAGAAAGACTACCAACATATATACCATTATCTTATCAAAAAAAAAAAACATATATATTTTTCCCATGGAAATGCTTTTGCTTTTCTTTTGAGGCGTCCCTTTTTTACTTGATCACTATCATTGTTTCCTCTTCTCTATCTTAACCTTTTCTCTCTTTGTTTTTGTCATCAAGTTAGAGGCCAATACATTATTTTTTGAGAAGGAGTCAATACATTATCTATAACGACTAACTTTTCAGAAAAAAATCAGAAATGAAGAATCAAAAGGTGAAAAGAATTATTTATAGTCTGAAGGATCTTTTGACTTGTAAAAAAACTAAGTCTTATCTTGTAAGAAGAAGTCTGAAACTAGAAAAAGAAATATTACCAAAGCTGAGTTTATTTTCTTATAAATACAGTAATTACTCATGTGATCCAGCAAACTGCTATACTGAAAAGCTTGTACTGGTTGAATACATTTTCTTGTTTAATACAAATGAGCGTCCCAGTAGATAAGCCAATATGGAATCCTATTCCTTCCCTATATATGCTAGTTATCTTGATCATCACTGCGTTTCCATTTGTTTCTGCCAAATACATTTTTAATACTTCTGAAACCTCTTCCACTGCAAATGTACTTGCCCTCTTAACATGGAAGGCCAGCCTTGAAAGTGAAAGCCAATTACTTCTTTCTTCTTGGATGAATACAAGCACAAGTCCTTGCCATTGGGACTGCATTCGTTGCGACAACCTTGGAAGAGTTACTGAGATGAATATGTCAAATTATAGCATAAAGGGTACCCTTCACTCTCTTGATTTTTCATCCTTCTCCTATCTCATCAGATCAAGCCTACCCAATAACTCACTCTATGGTACTCTTTCCACCAACATATTCAATCTTTCAAGGTTGAGTTACCTTGACTTAGGCTACAATGATTTTTCAGGAATGGTTCCACCTGAAATAAGGTTGTTGAGAAGTTTGAGTTTTTTATACCTTGATTACAACAAATTCTCTGGGCATATTCCACGAGAAATAGGGATGTTGAATTCCTTAAAAGATCTCTTTCTGTCAAAAAACATATTTGCTGGCTCTATTCCCACTTCTTTTGGTAACTTGACCAACTTGAAGTCCTTGTATCTTCATAGCAACACACTTTCAGGACCCGTCCCTCAGGAGATTTGGTCTTTGACACATTTGATGGATGTTGATTTGGGATGGAACAATCTTACGGGTCAAATATCAAGTTCTATTGGAAATTTGAGTAAGTTGTACTCTTTGACTTTGTCCAAAAACAGTCTCACAGGTGAAAGACCAACATCAATTGGAGACTTAGGCAACCTGCTCTTTTTATCCTTTTGTGAAAACAGGCTTTCAGGGCCGATTCCTTCATCCATTGGAAACTTGACTAAGCTAAAGACATTGTATTTATGTCAAAATGGATTGTATGGTCCCATTCCTCCAAGCTTTGGGAACTTAAAATCTCTTGTTGATATGAGATTGTTCAGTAATAAACTCAATGGACCCCTTCCACTAGAGTTGGAAAACATTACCAACTGGGAGATGTTTCACATAGCCGATAACTATCTCTCTGGTCATTTGCCTCATAATGTTTGTCTTGGTGGATTCCTGACAGAAATATCAGTGCAAAATAATCGTTTAATCGGTAGCATCCCAAGAAGCTTGAGAAATTGTTCCAAGTTATCCAGGGACAGACTCGAAAACAATAAACTATCAGGAAAAATATCAGAAGCTTTCGGTGTATATCCGAATCTAGACTACATTGATTTAAGTCACAATGAGTTGCATGGAGAGCTATCATCACAATGGGGACTTTGTGGTAAAGTAACCTGTTTGAAGATGTCAAACAACAATTTATCTGGATCTATTCCATTTGAGATTGGAAATGCATCTTATTTACAGGTGCTTGATCTCTCCTCTAACAATTTCACTGGCAAGGTCCCTAGAAGCTTGGATAGCCTAAAGCTACTTTTTGAGCTTGATTTGTCTGGTAACGAACTTTCTGATGGTATTCCATCAGAACTTGGGAAGCTTTCTTTGCTTGCAAAACTTAGCTTGGCGGCAAATCATCTCAGTGGCATAATTCCACAAGAAATTGGAAACAATGTGCAGCTATTGAGCTTGAATTTAAGCAAAAACATGTTGGAAGCAAGTATTCCTTCACACTTGGGGAACTTGCGCTTCTTACAAAATATGGATCTTAGTCATAACATGCTTAATGGTGAGATGCCATGGCAACTGGAACGATTACAAAGCTTGGAGCTAATGAATCTTTCGCATAATAAGTTGTTTGGTTCGATCCCATCAAGTTTGGATCAGTGTCTTAGTTTGAGGTTTGTTGATATATCTAATAATCAATTGGTCGGCCCTGTTCCTAATATCTTAGCTTTTCAGAATGCGTCGCTTGAAGAACTAAGAGACAACAAAGGCTTGTGTGGCCACCTCATTGGATTGAAACCTTGCTCTTCATCTGTAATCACCAACAAAAGAATAAAAATCTCGACGATGCTTTTTAGTTTGGGTGGTGTTCTTCTTTTGATGGTGATCATTTATCTTCTTTTTACCACATCCTGGAAAAGGAAAAATCAAGTTGAGCAAAGAGAACAAACAAAGGATCTCTTTTCCATTTGGAGCTTCGATGGGAAGATGACATATGAGAACATCATTGCAGCAACAGAGGGCTTTAACAGCAAATATTGCATAGGAAAAGGAGGACATGGAAGTGTCTTCAGGGTCGAGTTACCAAGCGAGCAAGTGGTCGCGGTGAAAAAATTTCATCCTTTAGATGATGGTGAATTGGACAGCTTGAAAGGCTTTAAAAATGAAACAAAAACATTGTTGTTAATCCGCCATCGTAATATTGTAAAGCTTTATGGATTTTGTTCACATGCAAAACATTCTTTCTTGGTTTACGAGTTCTTGGAAGGAGGAAGCTTGTCAGAGAGACTAAGAAATGATGTCAAAGCGACAGAGTTAGATTGGATTAAGAGGATGGACATTGTCAAAGGAATAGCAAATGCATCATGAGTGTTCACCTCCTATTCTTCACAGGGATATATCCAGTAAGAATGTTTTGTTAGATTGCGAAGACAGGCCCCATCTTTCTGATTTTGGTACAGCAAAACTCTTAAGGCCTAACTCCTCTAATTGGACTTCATTTGCTGGGACTTTTGGATATGTTGCTCCAGGTATGCTCTATATATTTAAGTTTAGACTAACCCCTATGTATATATTATATTCATGAATTTCAAGAATCACAATTACTAGAAAATTAAGCAGTATGTTCCATTTGTAGTGCAAGTCAAAATGTATATGACAAAAAACATTCTCCTTGAGATAATGTTCTTAATGTTTTTCATTCAATCCACTAGTAATATTGTCCACTTTGGGCTTAGGCCCGCACGGGTTTAAAATGCGTCACTAGAGTCTAAGGCCTATTTACTTATATACTTAGCATCTCTCCCGTGTTTTGTCGATGTGGGATTTACCTAGGGTGTCACAGTAAACCATTTGCTTTTGAGTTTTATGTCATTTTCATTATGTCGTGTTCTGCTCGGCTTCTCTTCGTTATGGAAATTGTGCCTCTGAATATTCCTTTTCTTCTTGATTCGCATGTGTATACAGAGCTTGCTTACACTATGGAGGTAGATGAAAGCTGTGATACCTACAGCTTTGGAGTGCTATCATTGGAAGTGATTTTAGGTAGGCATCCAGCCGATATTGCTCAGGCTATATCATCAAAAACCGGCCTTGACATATTGTTAAAGGATTTCATTGATCAACGGCCATCACCTCCGTTTAGAGTGGTTGAAGAATTGATCAACATCACAAAGATAGCATTGACATGTCTTCATCCCAGTCCACAACTTAGGCCAACCATGCAACAAGTTTCTACATCTTTAGCCAAAGAAAAGCCACTTATGAATAACTGTTTTCCTTTTATTACTTTAGGCCAAGTGATTGATCTTGAATTAGGAAGTACCTAAACTTTGTGTGTTTTCACCCTTTACATTAGCTGTTGTGGCGTTTCTCCTCTTGTACTGCAAATTACCATATTTATGCAATAGACTAATAATAGAGTACATATATTGCAAAAAGAAAACGTTGATCGTGAGCTAGAAGTTAAAGTATGTAATTCTTACTGTTTACTCTTCCACTTGTTTTTTCTTACTTTTGGGAAGAGTTCATGATTGAAAGAAAAGATTAACTTTTACTGAGTTAATCCTTTATAAAAATGTCAGAGATAGAGAAAGTTGGTTTTGCAACTTCCCCTGAAGGGACAGATAATTAAGATAGTCAGATAGAGCATACCTGGAGCTGTTTCTCAAGCTTCTTGAGAACCAATTAAACAGTTATTCTGCACTGATATTTCTGTCTGGAACCCACCAATTTTGTGAAACTGCAGTTTTGCAAGATTAGATGACCTAATCCCTCTATCCAAATTTATGTTGCACTTTTTTCTTTGAATCTATTCCAAAATGAATATTACCTTTCTATATTTAAAAATAATGTAACTTTAAATTTCTCATTATACCTTTAATGAGATCATTTATAGTTTCAAAATATCTAAAATGTTATAAAACAATAAAAGAAGAAGAAGAGTATTGCAGAGAAAAGTAGGGAGAGAGAATTCTTATTAATTTTGGAATGAATTACAATGGAATAGAACCCTCTATTTATAGGGAGAGGCTGACTTAGCCACCAAGTATGAACCCTAGAATCTCTCTAAATACAGACATTCACCATAAATAAAATTCTATTTATAACACTCCCCCTTGAATGTCTATTCAGCAAATAATGTGCCTCGTTAAAACCTTAACTAAATAAAACCCAGCGGGAAAAAAATTCTAGAGAAGGAAAAAGAGTACACATATCTAATAATACGCCTTTTGGTTGCCTCGTTAAAAACCTTGCAAGGAAAACCCAGTGGGACAAAACCTTGTAAAGAAAAAAGCGTACAACGCGCATTAACTCCCTCTGATGAGAGCATCAATTCACATCCTTGAGCCTTCGCATCCCAATCCTGTGCACCATCTTCAAAATATCGTTGGTAGAGATTTGATAAACAAATCAGCCATATTAACTTCAACGAATTTGTTTCACCTTGAAATCATCATCCCTGATAGATGTATTGTCTTCATCTAATCTTGTTGGAATCGTCATTTCAATATCTTCACATAGGGGTAAAGACTCTTGCTATGATACTATCATGCTTATAGTTATAGCAAGATACTTTTGTGCACAAATTGCACTTAGGATATGGTACTTCAGGACCAAGAATTGTATATGCTTTAAGCGATTAAAATCCTTCAAGGATTGTCATATAAGCCATATAAATAGAATTTAGATGCATATCAAGTTTTCATGTCATGCTAGACATATAAGATTGATAAACGTAATTGCATACATCATTGACTTTATAGTTTATACTTTCAAGTGTTTGAACTACATGTCCAAAACTATGTGTCTTTCATATGGAATCAATTCTACTTGAATTGTGTCTCTTCCATTTGGCCAATACTTTTGTGTCTATATTCGATAGACTTAAGATCCTCATCTATATTTAGCGCTATGATAGATGTCGTCGACAAACATTTTATATAGGTTCCAATATTTTTTCATAAAGACTTAACATAGAGATCTCTTCATTCATATATTCAGGTACCTAAATCTCTCATGAGATTTTATGAAGTGTTATGTCATGTGATCTTCTAGATCACTTGCCTCCTTTATTATGATCATTTTGATTATTTGCTCATCTTCTTTATCAAGAAGTTTATTTGAAACCGATTTGTCTATATGGTTTAAGCGTACCATAGACTTTGTCCTTCTAGGACTTAATAGGAGCATTTGCAATGAGAATATAGTTACTTTCTTTGGGTCAGCAAATGCGTCTAGCATACTTTGCAATATATTGCAGATGAATTATCTTTTTATGAACTTCAAGTTCATATTATCATATTTGAGGATCTAGATATACAAATGATAATTCATTCCACATAACTTTTTCTCAACTGTTTATCGTCTCTCCCCCTCATGTTGAAAAAACTAACTTGTTTTCCTCAACTTTGAAAATCAATCTTTGTGCGTTATGGTGCTAATCAAAATACACACTGCACATTAATAATAATACGATGGAATTATTTGGTTTCTGACCCTGAAGCACTTGTGATGGGAGAATGTAATATACTTTCGTATATAACCTATATCAAACTAATATAGATAACTTTGTTCTCATAAGCAATAGTTTAGCTATTAAGTGGAGGCACTC